TCCGCGGCTTCTTTTGCTTCGCAGAAGGAGGAGACGGCATCCCAGTCCCCCTCGCTCCGTACCATGGTCTGAACCAGAGCCGGATGCGAGAGGTCGCCGTCGCCGATCACATTCCTGAAGACACGGCGGTGCTCAGTCCACGCAGGACACACCGCCACCGTATGCTCCACCGTGTATTTGCTAATGACCTGAAGTTGTCTACCACTATAGAAAATGCCTTAGATCGAGACACGCTGCAGCACGACTTGGATAGGGTCACGGAATGGAGTCATTCCAATAAGTTATACTTTAATGTATCAAGTGCTTTCATTCACACGCACACGAAACCCTCAACACCATCAGTACATCATGGATGGGGAGCCGCTGCAGCGTGTCATGAAAGTGAGGGACCTTGGGATTTATTTCACCAGTGATTTACAATTTCGTAAACATGTGCATTTTTGCAAAAAGGCGTTCAGGGATCTGGGGTTTGTGCTGCGTCAGGCAAATGATTTTACGAACATCAGTGCTCTGAGAGCATTGTATGAGGCTCTTGTGAAGAGTCATCTCGAATACAGCGCGGCCGTTTGGAGACCGAGTGAAATAAAATATAAGGATATTATTGAAAAAATTCAGAATAAATTCATTCGATTCCTATATTTAAAGCTGTATGGAGTATATCCGCGTTACCCGTTGTTGTATCCTACCTTATTCTGTCTAGGTATGGTAACTATGGTAGGATACTATAGATTAGAAGCCAGGAGAGAAGTGGCCCTAGCCGTATACCTCTTCAAAGTTCTAAGAGGTACTATAGAAAACTGTGGAATACTGGCAGAATTAGGGTTTTTTGTACTGGATGAGTACATAGCGCGTCGGCTGTTGGTGGAGACGCGCGCGCGCACTAACCTTCTCGATCGGAGGCCGCTGACTCGCGCGTTGCGCAGTCTTAACACAGTGGCGGATAATATAGACATATTCACCTGTGCCACAATATAAAAATCATACAGTAGGACGACGCATTTTTCGATCATTATTATATTGTTCGAATCATTTTTCTGAATTTACAAATGGCAAAACATGCCGATCTGATAACACGTAATTTTTAAGACCTTGCACATAATATTTGGTGTATACTCATATTTTGCCAATAAATCTATTTTATTATATTCTATAACATGATATCTGCCTTATGATTTCACCTGAAACTCAACTATCTTCTTTTATCAAATAAATAAATAGTATATTGTATATATATAATAGTATATTGTGTATTATAGATAGATAAGAAAAACTATTTAGTTACCACAAACACCAAATAAATAAATACACTTCAGAAATTGCGATATTGAATTTAGAAAATTAATTATATTTTTATATAGGACCCCTTTTCTCCTTCATCATAATGCGAGTACGTTTACAAACACATAATTTTATTCACAGACCAAATCCAATCCAACAATTTGTAGATCACACAAAATATTATTCCTTGTGCAGGTTAGAATCAAACCAGCAACACATTGCGCAGCAAGTCAGGTCAGTTGCCAACTTGTGCAGTTCCTGAGACACTGAAATTAGTTATTACTTATATTGCAACGAAGCTTACCACATCAAAACAGCACATCACAAGTATATTGTCAATCATGAAACAAACGTTTTTGGAGTCCAACTTCTTCAAAATGCTGGAGCAATGGGTTAAATGACCAAACCATGTCATTGAGCCATAGGTCGATTAAGATAATGCAAAACATTTAAAAAAAAGTGTAAATCTTTTACCATTAAAAATAAGTTAACATGTTCGTTACCAGAACAAATTCACTGCTGAACGAAGGGTAGCCAATTAGTGTAGTAAGCTGAACAAGAACCATACATAGTCAAGAAGTCATTTACTTTCAACTACCTGCTCCTGCGCGGTTTGTCCCGCTACTCGGGTCCTACAGCGGTCGGGTACTGGCAGCGTGACATTTGGGAAGACTATCGAATAAATCGTCTATCCAACATAAAAGGAATTATTAAATTTGAACCAAGACCTAGTTTCAGAGATCAGTGTGTACATATGACCCAGTCTCAAGATTTTTAATGTTATATGTATAGATAATGTATAAGAAGTAAACAAATAAATAATAAATCAATAAAGCTTCAAAATCAATAAAACACATGCCAACATAGGTACAATCGGTGGTGCTGTGGGTCATTCCATTCACTACAAAATGGTTGATCGGAATAATTGCTAGCCTAGATCATAAGACTAAATATTTTGTGTAGTGATATTAGTGGTTAGTGTAGCCTGTAAGATCCCTATAACAATTATTTCACCATGAAAACAATGTCACTAATTATATGACAAGGGCATGGACACAATTCCGAGGAGAAATACAATTTATTAAAAAAACATAGGTACAAAAATATCAGGTCTTACAAATGAATATGCCTGTACCAGGAATATTCCGAAGTCACAGGCGACAGGAGCTCTAGAAATATGTCAATGATAAGATAACTTATTTATAGTATACAATTTTCAAAAGTAAGGTAGAATTGTTCATGTAATGTACTATATTTTACTATAATACATATCTATAACAAGCCTTTTATTTCCTGAACGAGAATAAAAAGTTGCATCTACATATTATATTAATATAAAATTAAATAAACGAAGTGAGATATTTACAATAAATTATTTTAAATCATCTGCAGAAACACAGCACACTAGGTTAGAGTCCATGTAATAGTTGTTATAGTATAAGAATAGAGGCATTAAGCATGAAGGTGCAGGTTCGAACCAGAGTCCTAATAACCCACTAATTTTTCTGCAGCTCAGGAGATCATTGAAGAAACTTGGATTTAAATTTAACATAAGTTTAAAAATTATTAAAAACTATTGAGGTGATTAATGCTCATTTCTTCTCCATGTAAGTAATGAAGATTATGATGTATAGGTAAATGTGACAGTACAATATTCTACCCATTTGTATTTCTCGATTGACAAATGAATTGAACATGGTACAGTACCTAGACAGTAGCCTGGTGGACACCACCAGTGTGATTATAGTAAACAGGACTGCTTGCCTGCCGGCTCTGTACTTCTCTCTACAAAGACAAACAAAACAAGACCCTGACTACAGCTACCTATTTCATTGACATATTTTATTATTTATCTCTAACAACATATTTGCCAGATTTGCATCAGCCATCAACCAGTGAATGACTGACAAACTACACACAACCAAAACAACTTGACCTAGGAACCTGAAACTTGGCATGTATGTTCCTTGGGGGAGTGTAGGGGGTACTACGAGAGGGTATCCCCAAATTGCTACGGGAACGGGTAAACTGGAACCACCTATTCATGCATACGAATTCACTAGCAGAAGTTAGTCTCACATTATAGACATGAACAGTGTCCTAATGCAATGCAATGAGCTTATTATGTTAAATAATAAGTCGCCAAAGTCGCTTATACAGCAGATACCTAGTTACATGACATGACGTGAATTAACACCCACCCATTACCTAAATTGTAGCGGTCATCAGTCGCAGATGTCCCCGCAGGTAACAGGCGCGCCAAATGAATACCTTGTCGCATGCACTATTGGCTAGATACCGAGCAAGAAGCAAAATAAGTACCCAACGAGCAAGCAATAACACTAGCAGCTAGTTTTTGGTAAAAATTTAATGACTGAACAACTTATCCCAAGAAGCACAACTTCAAGTTCAACTTCCCTATAGCAACGCAATGAATTTTTGTATTAATTATAGGACAGAAACTTACTTGCCTTGACTACAAAAGAAAACTTCACCATCACCATGCAGTCAGTCCTGAGGGATGGTTGCTCTTATAATATCTCACCTGTAGACGACAACATTAGGAGAACAATAAGATTTAAATGTAATTAACCTAGTAGTTGAATGCACCATAATCCATTACTTTTTACACTTATGCAGACCAGTTTTAATTAAGCACGCGGTAGATTGTCAATTTAAAGTTTACACCAATTTTACAGGTAGGGTGACCGCTATACGCCATCCCACCAATCCGATCCGCCTGCCATCAGTGCCATTATGCCATTCAATGATTTTAATGATCGTGATTCGTGATCCACAAACCATTTCCGGTTTACTTAGGTCAAATTCAATACTTTTGATCAAATGTTCGATTGAATGCTACATAAATTCACTAAAAACATACGAAATATAAATACAACAATAGTTTGAAATAAATTAACGAAACTACAATTAGGTTTAGTTAACGACTTTCATAAAGATATGGTAAAAATGTAGTCTACCTATTTTTCAACGTCCTTGACCAATATTTGAATTTTTGTTTGTTACGTCTAATTCATTTATTATCTAATATGCTTAAAATTAGTATAATATTTGGTCAATTGCGATGTAAAAATATTGTTATTAAAATAATTTATTACCATACTAGAAATTGTAAATTAAAATATTACTCGCTAGACTATAAATGCAGTCACACACTTGTTCTTGACCTTTTTGTCAGTTCAAGCATTCTGTTCCGAGATTAGCATTGATTGTAACTTTGTAAATTAATTAAACCAAGTGATACCTATTTTGAGTTCAACTGTTATTCTGGACGAGGAATCCTTAGTGGATGACCTGTTCCACAAATAATGTGTCAACCTCGTACTATAAACCTAGGGCCAGGCCACACGGGGCGGTGCGGTTCCGACGCGGCGCCTGCGCGGTGCCAAAAAATGAGAGCCGGTGTGGAATCTATAGACGTAGACGTATAATAGCAGCAACGCACGTCTTTTTCGATTCATTGTTTATTGTAGGCTATCGTCAACTGGACAAGCCAAACTAAGCATGTGCGGTGCCACAGCGGTGCCGTAAGAACATTGCGACACTGCATTGCTCGTGTGGCCGCCAGTGACCTGGCCTGGCCCTAATATCCTAATATTTTAAGTTGTAATACTGGTACTAACATACATCTAGAATAGTATTTATTTTCTCTAGTATATTTCATTATACAGTATACATGGTAAGAAATAAAGAACACTAGGTATCCATGTGTATTATTTTATTGATTCATAAAAATTTGCTTCAGATCAAGCTTTTAGAAATGGAAATTTAACAATTAAACCCCATAGAATACAAGTTAATACTATTACGCAGGTGAGGAGCAGGCTGTAACACATTTTCTATTAAAATTAACTTCAGTAGACTAACATTCAAATTAGATACATTTATGTATACAGGTACACAGGTAACCACACGCGCCCTGCAGAATATTTAAATATTGCAAACAAACAGTGCTTGATGTTGTTGTAGAATAACATTTTTCACAGACAAAACTATACTGGTTGACCATGATATTAGGGTTAATCAGAATTACTATTATATTTCATAATTAAGGCTTATAAGAAAAAATAATAAGTTTTTACGTGTTAGTTGAGTCACTAAGAATCACACTTACAATTCAGTTATCAATTTATCAGCAAAGTTAAAAGGTAATACATATTTTGAAGTTCAAACATTTACAATAATTATTCTGGAAAGTAACCTCATTTCATTTTCCATCAGTACCTACATTTGTTACGACAGGCCTTTGGCTAAAACAACAATATAGACCAAAATGACACAATATAATATACCTGCTTTGCCAATACCAAACTACATTTCAATAAAACAAATACTAGTACAGCGATTATGTATTACATTTATTATAAAAAGGGCAGAGCAACAAATAAGAACATTATGAGCCCACATTTATTGCAGATTCCTTTGTATCGAATGATCAGTATAAGATGAATAAAATTAATGTAATCAAAATCTATTTAGAAGGCATCCGTGTCGCTACCTATGTAAGTAGAAACATTCACTATTACATCTAATTACCACCATGACGCAGTTCACGAGTTTCTATTCATACATTTGGTCGCTTACCATACGACACGACAACCACGCGGCCTTACTTCCTGGAGGCGCTTTCAATTGTTACACCACATTCCCCTGCAGCACTAGCAAGTTTTAAAACACGCCACACTCGCGAGAGAACTGGTCTCACCATCTATTTACTCTAAATACTGCTATAGATTAGGTACTTCGGATATTATGCATATTAATCTAAAATTGAGTAACATGTGCATATAAAATTGAAATGGCCATGTTCAGTGTTAGGAATATGTAGTTACAACACAATACGATTGACTATTAAGTTTCATTTTTATTTCAATACTAAGAATATAAATTATTGTTGCCAAAACATAAAGGTTTGATTACATAGTAGGTTGATTTCCCTTTTTTTTAATACAATTACATCTATGTATAACAACGTCAAGAACGCAATACCTACTATCATAAAATACTTTGCTAGTAATCATACCATGAAAAATAAGTACCCCAATTTCATAATTAATTTGTCAACCATAATTAAAAACGAACTCGCTATTTTGTTGTTAGTAGGAGACAAATTAAGGCAATTAAATTATGTCGAAAAATAGAACCAGCATATTTCTATACTTATAAAAGTGTATAGGTTGATATATACCAAATAGTATGTATGAATATATATTATTGTAATAAATTAAATTCAATGGATAGTGAATACATTAAATTCTATTTGTAATAAATTGTAATAATCATAGTTTGTTATAAAGTGTGTGGGCGTTCACTACATGATGTGAACAACCAAGTGTAAGAGTCCTAATATTGTGAGAATTTCCCGGGCGATGGTTTAGATAATTATAAATTATAATCTTAAACACAGCTAAGGTCAGTTTGCTCACATTTTGCTCAATCTGGCCAGGGCTCGGCTTAAGTCATCTGGGAAATATATCACATAATTATTTAAATACCACTAGATAACTAAGCTTCAATAGGCAGCTTAACGAATCACAATCCTATAATAAATTGTCGATCACAAACTGGTCTGAGCGAGAATCTCTACTACACCTGTGACTAAGTACAGCGTTCACATTAGTCGCAGTTCTTTACTACGACAATGTCGCCAGATATCAACAAATATTACCGATACAGAAGTTGCTTTTAAAAAATTAGCTTTTTTTTAAGTATTTAATTTAGATTTCGATTTACTAATATACATAACATGGATATATTAAATATTGGAATATTAATTTTTTACAGATAATTTAGACTACTGCTAGACAAACCCTTGTACGATTTAAGTAATAAACAAAAATATATTGAACTGTTCTTCACAACGATGAATGCAGTTAAGTGCTTTAAGTAAAATCTATTAAGTAAATATGTTAAGTGTTTTGTAATATTAAGGTGCGTGCTTCATGGTAGCCCGTGAAATTACAAGTTACTGAGTTATGTGAATGGTTTACACAAGTAAAACTGTATTTCATTACCGCGAATATCTAATCTAAATATTTATATAATTTAAAGGTGACGGACTGATTGACATAGTGATCTATCAACGCACAGCCCAAACCACGGGACGGATCGGGCTGAAATTCGGCATGCAGGTAGATGTTATGACGTAGGCATCCGCTAAGAAAGGATTTTGATCAATTATACCCCCAAAGTCACAAAATAGAGAGTTTGTATGACACTTTGTCAATTTTAAACCGATCGAGCTGAGACTTTGAATACATAAAGCTACTATGCCGTAGGCGGAGGCCGCCCCTAACAGGATGAAAATTTGTATAAATCTTTATAGACTTTCGACTAATAGAAATGAAATTAAAGATGGGAATTTTTAATTTGATGACGACGTCTCATCAGCTTTTATGATGAAGACGTCTGCGTAAAAAAAGTATTTAGAATTGCCATTTTATTTTCATCCAACGCACATGCACATGCACTATGTACATTTAGTATATTTTGTCATCCTACTAGCCGACCTGTAAATTGCAAAAAACTTAAGAAAATCTATATTTCGCGGGCTACCTTGAAGCGTTCCCTTAACATAGCTTAGTTTCACGAGTTAAGATATAATTGCTTACGAGTAGTGCTCACAATAACAAGACGTTGATCAGAGAGCTGACTGCACCAGTGTCGGACCGGCCGGAGAACTTAGCATTAACAGAATTTGTGTTGTTATGATATTCCACTGGCTTTCACATGGTTGTTGTTACACAAGATTGTCAAGAGCAGCCAGTTTATCAGTCGCAGGTGGAGAGGGAGCGTCGCGCGACGCACGAACATAATCTAAGGGTTACAGCTAGATATTGGACTATTTACGAGCATTGCTCGCATTCTCTGCATTCTCCTTCATGATCTTGGATTTGAGATGGTCCTTGTATTTGAGGATGCCACCTTGCCATTTCGTGACGGTTCCATTCTCGCATATCCAGATTTCCTCCGCGACCTGTAAGTAGAAATTGAGTATAATTTAATATCACTTGCAAATACATGATTATGTCCATGTATTGTACAAATAAGTACCAATTGTTGTTATTACCTATACTTAATATGTACGTAATGGATTGCCATTGCTAGCAAAGATATTATAGAATTCTGAAACACCTCTTCAGCTGAACATTTATGAGCAAAAATTTATAAATCTGCTTAAAGGACCATTAATTCTATTTTAAACATCTATTTTTATTTATTGTACATGTATTAAAAATACAGGACAGCATAAAATTATAGTATTTTCTATGGGGTAGGGTGACAACTGAACAAATGGATCGCCTGATGGTAAGCGATCGACACTTGCAACACTATATAATAATATATAACAAGAGCGTTGGTGGTTAACTGGTACTTACCTGGTTAATAAGCCTGAAGTCGTGGCTAACGAGTACCATGCCACCATCGAAATCGTTGATAGCGTCCGCTAGCGCATCGATAGTCTCCATATCCAAATGATTGGTAGGTTCATCAAGCAGTAGAAGATGTGGTGTCTGCCACGCCAGCCAGGCGAACACAACGCGGCACCGCTGCCCGTCAGACAACTGACGCATCGGACACACCTGTAAACACAACATTTTAGTCAAATTACCTTTTATTTATTATCATATCTAATAGAAGACTTTCATTCAGATCTCACAAGCAAATGCAATGCATAATATTCTTATCAAAACACTGAATTCTTCAACAAATAATTAATCTAATACCCGTTGTTTAGTAACACAATAATTATGCCAATAGAAAAAGACAAAATAATGGTAATATTCTTATCATTTCAAGAAAATTGATTACGATTGATCTGTTTCTGTTCATACAGTGACACCAAACGCAAACGTAATCTTTGAGACTGTATATCATTCCGGTCGGCACATTCTTAGCAAGATATGGCTCTCTCACATAAAAATAACGGCAAAAATAGACAAAACGATATGCCTTAAGTCACCATGTGTACGAAATCGTGAACAAAAGCTAGTTCCCAAATAAACGTGACTGGAGTAATCAAGTGACCTGTTGTCGTCCGGTTAGTCCGTATCGTCCGATGATCTTGCGCATTTCCTCCCGTTCCCGGACTTCAGGGAACTCCTTCATCATGTAGTCGAGCGGTGACAGGTCTAAGTCCAGCAATTCGTGCAGGTGCTGGTGGTAACGACCGATACGCAAGTGAGAGTTCTTACGGATCATACCAGTGGACGGGACCAGCTGTAAATAAAGAAGTAAACTTTGTTAATAACACAGAGAAATATTGATATTGTTAAATATTAATTATTTGTATGACTAAAGTAATTGAAAACTAAAATTATAGGGGGCATATGGAGGCATTGATGCATAACATTAAAATGTGTTAATCAATTCTTGAAAGCATGTACATACTGTACATACAGTTTCACAGATTTCTCAGTGACTAGCTATTCCCGGTCTGCTCGGTAATGTTTTGTAGTTAACCAGTAACCTTTCTCGATTAAAAGGATTATCGTACACAAGAAGAATTATTCAACTCGGACAAGTAGTTCCGGAGATTAGAGCGTTCACACAAACTACGAACCAACTCTTCAGCTTTATCTTATATTTATAAAAGAAAGTCGTGTTACACTATTTATAAGTCTTTTTTTTAAGGGGGGAAAAATCATCGAATGACTTCTCCCGTCTGGGTAAGCGGGAAGGCGTGTCAGACTCTTACTGACTAAAAACCACCCTGTTCCTTCTCCTGCACGTCGAGCCGGAGCCCCGGTTACCCGTTAGGTTCTCCACGACTCCGAACACTATAAGTCTAGAACAGGCTGAACATTAGAGGGGAGATAGCCGGACATAGAATACTTTTTATTCAAGGATTTCCCGAAACTCCTACTGAACCGGGAAAACATGAATTGCGCGTATGAAATCGCGGGCAGAAGCTATTATATAATAAAGTAAATGATATTAATAAATAAGAATAATTAATAAAGTATAGATAAAATACGATTCCGATTATAATAATTGAATGCCTTTTACAGAACGTCGCATTTAAATATGCGTATGTTTGTACTCATAATTTTTGTTCATAAATGCAGAAGTTGCACTATTTGTCAAAAAAAACCTGCAATGCTTTAACAAATTTAATAGTAATAGATATCAATCTAATATATATTTTCCAGGCACTAAAACAGCATTACTTAATAAAAGTATTTTTCGCATGGCGCCACGTGTCTATAATCACCTACCCAAGTCTGTACTGGAGATTTCAAATATAAATATATTGAAAAAAAAATCAAAGCCCTATTAGTGCCAAAAGCATATTACACTGTCAACGAGTATTTGCAGGACAAGTTAATGTAAAATATCACTATTTTTTTATTAAGTAAATTTCTATATATTGTAAGTTTTGCATGCATTTGATAGGATATGTAAACCAATCGGTGTGGAATCCGACACATTTTTAGACATTGTCCTTTGGGGGTCATCCATAAATTACGTCACACTAATTTCATGATTTTTATACCCCTCCCCCCGTCCTTGTCACAGCTAGTCACATTTGTGAGACGCCCCCCCCCCTAGTGTGACGTCACAATTTGCAGAATTACAGTATAGAAACTATTGTTTTTTCACTTAAATTACTTTAAAAAAATATTAATGTCAAATCAAACAATTAATTTAATAAAAAACATTAATACATTTATGTTTCGTATTTTAACACAGATTAACTATTAGTTTTTGAAATGTGACATCACAAAGTTTTGGATCCCTCCCTCCCCCTTGTCACACAATGTCACACTTCGTCGACCCCCTCCCTCCCCCTTAAGTTGTGACGTAATTTATGGATGGCCCCTTGTATGAAATTTTATTTAATCTAATTCTTGATATTTTATTTGACAAATACATTTATTGACATTAAATTTTAATTAAATTAGTGACATTATATTTTGAATTCACATAAATTACAATAATTGTGTTGAAAGTTTGAATTTTGAAGGTACTTGATTTTTTTCCAAATAACATTGTAAAACTGTAATTTTTGTAAATTTTGTAATTTGCATGCCTCAAGGCGTAATATGGTCGGAACTGTATCTACTTATCTGCTAACAACTTAATTTACCCATATTAGCAAATAAATGATTTGATTTGATTTGATTTGATAACATAAGATAACGAACAAGATACTTACGTCTCCGTACAACAATTTAAGGAGCGTGGACTTGCCAGCTCCATTGGGCCCTACAAGAGCGAGACGTGTATCAAGGTCGATACCGAACTCCAAGTTCTTGTAAATCCATGGGCCTGAATCAGTATACCGGAATGATACGTTCTGAAACATAATATAACATCATTGTCAACACAGCTCAAAACACCACTTTTTGTTTGTCAAATGTTGATATCAAAGCACAAAATTATGGTGCTTTTTAATGCAATCATTTGCCTTCTGATTGCTAGAGGTAAATTCATTACTAGCGTCGGTCATATTTATCAAAATAAAAAGGTTTATTATACTTTAGGTGGGCTGAGTATATACACATTAGGGGGCGAACTTATTGTCTACTCGTCTTTGTTATAGTTATCTATCTATTATGCAGATTGTAAAAGAAAACCGTTTTTCTCGTCTTAATAAATATTGAGTAGTTTAAATGTAGATACTAACCTGCACCATAATAACAGGGGGTGGCACCTTCCCGCACGATGGGAAGTAGAAGTTAAGGATCTTGTCATCGATAACTTTCTCTGTCAATCCCTGGGCCACCATCTTAGCCAGTGTCTTCTCCTTGGACTGAGCTTGTCTGGCTAACTTGGCGGAACCGTGACCAAACCGCGCAATATAGTTCTGTAAACATATTCAAATTATATTATATATAAGTACTAGATAGTACAATAAGATTATTGTTTGAATAGTTTTAACCAACTTCTCCCAAGATTTAAAGAACGCCTAAGCTATGTCACACATAAAGTCATTTTGGTTTTCACCAATCTGTAAGTGGCACGGTCTAACAGTACAAGGGGTCAGTTGTGGTGCTAATCCACGCGAAGTAGCATTTAATTAAAGAGATAGTTTAAGGATGGTGTATTTTTTTAACTATCCATATAATTGTTATTCTGACCCCTATTTTGGTGCCGTCTCGTGGTGACCCGGAGGGTTGAGATTGAGACGACATCCGGAAACCCACACCCTCATGCATGTATGAGGGTGTGGGTTCGAAAACTACCAACGGCAATTACCAATGTGACTTTTTCCAAGTTATATGTACTTTCTAAGATTATTTAGACACTACTGACAAACAGTGAGGAAACCTGGGCTTATAATTTCTAGTTAAAGTTTGGAATGGACAACCGCATTGAGCAAGCGTGGTGTTAAATACTCAAACCTTCTCCATGTGAGAACAGGCCTTTGGTCAACAGTAGCCGCTTGTAGGCTATTGTTGATTCTGGTGTACCAAGAAATGACGATGAAAAATAAGTATTGAATTTGACTAGATAGAAAGAGTGATATTATTGATTGATGGTATGGAGGAGTTTATGAAGTTTTGTTATTGGTACTGGGCTTCAATGGCAAGCAAGTCGTTGTATGAAAAACACATATAGATCCCGTTTAACCGACCTTCATGTGAGCGATCTGGTCCTGCTCCCAGTTGTACTGCTTCATCTGGTTCTCCAGCAGTTCCATGCGAGTCCTGACGAAGGCTTCATAGTTGCCCGTATAGTACTTGAGTCGGCGTTTGCTCATATGAATGATGTTAGTGCACACGCCGTTCAAGAAGTCCTGCGAGTGAGATATCAGCACGAGGATGCGTTTGTAGCTGCAAATGACAAAACGTATCAATATTAGTAAAAATATTACCTAAATTATTTATCATCAAAATTGGTCACGGTTCAATTTTTCTATATATTCTATTAGTAAAAATAATTTACTTTTTCTTTTAATGATTAGTAGATTTAATATCTACTAATCATTAAAACATTTAAAAATAACGATACTCTCATTAATTTGTTGAAGTGTAGTTTTGGTATTTTTATTTTTGTCCATTTTCAGTGAATAAAGTATGCAAAAAACATGTGATGTGACGTAAGAACTTACCATCGCCATACGAGGATATGGGGGCAAGTTGTGACTGTCACAGTGTCGAATTAAAAAATGAATAAAATTAGAATCATGCATGCTTACTGTTTGAGTTCTTCCTCAAGCCATACGCAGGCGTCGAGATCCAAATGGTTGGTGGGCTCGTCCAGCAACAGAAGATGAGGCTTCACGTACAGCGCACGTGCCAGCGCGATACGCATACGCCAACCTTTGATCAAACGTCAGGTTAGAAATCAACGTTTTTAATATAATACAGTTTACACACACATGTAAGCAAAATTTCAGGAAGATTGGTTATGTAGATAAAATGTATTTCTTGAGATTAATCCAGACTACAACCAAGTAAACGTTCTTAAAAACTTTGTATAACGCAATCAATAGTACCTATATCTAACACGTGTCACTCGCTGAGAAACACTTCTTCGAGAATTACATGGCGTGTTGTTTTGATAATGTATTATGATCTCGTATGCGCTTTTGAAGTTGCGTTTTGCAATGGTTCACCCGTTATTTTTTGTTCTAAACAATTTATAACTTTGTAAAACTATTATACTACCTAGACAGAACCATTTTCCTACGGGAAGAAGACGATATAAATTTCACGGTGTAAAGTACTCTTACGAAGTGCACCTTTATTATAATTGTAGTAAAATAAAAATTTTCATCCCACTTTTATTGAGTTACGTTATTATTTCATATTCAACAAGTAAAACATAATAAATAATTTTTATGATAAACGGATTTAATGACCTCTATTCGACATATTAAGCCTTTACTTTTGATATCCACTATAAAGGTACTACTTGTAGAGAAGTCGGTTAAAAAAATTATAATAAGATGCGTAATATAAGATCAATCAGTCACCAGGGTGCTTACTCTTGAATCCAATTCCGATCGATCGATATTGGTATTCTGAAATTTCGTACTCTGGCGCCCGTTGAATCCGTATTGCGTGGATATTCAATTAACTAAATGGTATTGAGTTTGGTTTTCTATTCCGTACTTTAAATGCTATTTGAACAGCTACGATTGGGGTATAGTTATAGTTTTGACATTGAATAATTATTGAGATTTTATTAGAGTGAAATTGCATTGACATTGAAATTGATTTCAAGTAGGTAAGCACCCAGGAAGGGTGTAAAATTCGAATTACTAAATTTGACCCAAACAAACCAACAAGTTGTGGTGGCCAGAGTTTGAAACTTATCAAAGGCTAGTACCAATGTGATTTTATTTAGACACCACTACGGTGAAGGAATGCATCGTAAAGAGATCTGGGCTTATAAAACTGATTATAAGTTACAAATCACCAATCCGCCCCGAGTAAGTGTGATGATTATTGCTCAAACCTAGTGGGAAGAGGCCTTTGCTCAACAGTGGGTACTTATAGGCTGTTGGTGTGTGAAACATACAATCAAACGGGCCAAGCTTAATAAAACCGTTTAAACTGTCAAACACCAAGCGGTCACCGGTGACCGCAACCTATTGTTCCATAATTGTGTCTACAAAACCGGTACTCGACGAGTTAAAAAGGAGTACACTAACTATAAAAAACTCCTTTCGTGCTCGGTGCCGACTAAAACGCTCTATATCTAACAAAGACCCGGGTAGCAGCCCTTTCAAATAATCCACAATCTTCATCTGCTTGCTAAGCTCTTGCGGAGGAGAGTCATAGGTTTTTCTTTTTTCTTACACGTTGCCACACACTAGGATTTTCTCTTGTCTCGTAGATGCGTTGACAAACTTACAAGTTCATATACATGGCACTTAGACCCAGAACAACAATTTGTGGATCACACAATGAGTTGCTCCGTGCGGGAATCGAACCCGTTGCGAGGTAGCCGGTTGCCCAACCATCGCACCAGCCGTGCCGTCAAAAAGTTCAACAGTGGATCCTTAAGAGCTGATGATGATGAATGCTAACCTCCAGAGAAGTCCTTTGTTGCCTTCTGTTGCATTTCCTTGGTGAAACCAAGACCGTGAAGAATGTTAGCTGCGCGAGCTTCTGCCGTGTCGGCGCTCAGGTCCTCCAGTCGATCGTACACGTCCATTAACTGTTCCTGAGCGTCTGGAAAACAACAAATTGTGTAAATTAGGTACTTATAGTTCAATTAAATATCTAACACTACAGGAAATACCTTCCACGCGCATGTAGGCTATTGTAAATTTTTAATTAAGTTAAATAACAGTAATGTAATATATCGTGTTCATAATTGAATATTGAACATTGTATATATTCGCTGTTATACAACAATATTTACCATCATCCTCGCACTGCGCCAACTCTTCGGCGAGCTTCTCCAACTGGATCCTCTCCTCATCGACTTCCATGACACACTGAAGTGCCGACTTATCGGAGGCGGGCATCTCCCTCGTCAGGTGGAAAATGTCAATATGCGCGGGTATAGTCACCTCGCGACGACCTAGCACGGCCAGTAACGACGACTTGCCTGGAAATTAACAAAGTTTTCATCAGAAAATAAATTAAAAAAAAAACTAATTCTGTGGCGCCTGTAATTTATGGATGAACGCTATTAACAAGGAGAATCTGTACGTCATCGGATTGTGAACGGAACTTAATACAACACGCTAAGCAACAGCATTTTCGACCTGTACAACGAGACTTTATTTTAACTATATAAAAAAATAAAAAGGGCTGTGCAGACCATTGTACAATACTTCGCGCGTCGTTAAGCATAGCATATAGTATATTCGCTAAAAACAGTATATAAAAATCACTTTTTAACAGACTTGAAAAAGGATCTTAATTCGTTGACATTTCAAGTTATCATAAAACGTAAAAAGAGCATCAGTACTTTTTGACTAATTTACTTTAGAGTAATTCTAATTTGAATTCAATTAAATCTAGTCTATGTATTGCTTTTAGGTGAAGTCCTTGTATCTTGTGCATATATTACCAGTTAAAACTAAGCATAAAATAGCAAAGGAAGAAGGCTATCCTTAAGAAAATACATATAATAATTCGCAATTAACGCAATATAAATTATAAAATATTTCGCCGTGACTCAAATAGCGGAGCATCATTAACATCCAAAATTTAACTATGTAAGCAAAATTAGACTGTTGATTTTGCTCGACCGACTTCGATCTGCAATTGAATTTAACAACAAAATGGTAGGTATCGTAGTTTTACCTCTATAATACAACATCAAAGTATTCTGTCAACTTGTCTCAACATTGTGACTTAGAAAGCACATTGTCATTTTTAATGACGAGCAAATTACAGGCCTGTCCAATGACCTCATGCCACCAAGTTGTATCTGCATTTATTATTCAAGTAACCAGAACGAGTAATATGCAGGTTTGCGCGCTAGACCATTATTATTCCACTGATTCAATGACAAATGAAATTACAAATTGTAGTTATAACGAACGAGTGCTAAAAACTCAATAATTATTATTTAAAAAATAAAAACGTTTCCCTACGCTAGGATTTACTCCTGTGTTGTAAGAAACAAACAACTTGTTTACAGATGGAACAACAATTTGTGGATCACACAAAGAGTTAAACCGTGCGGGAATCGACCCCGCGACAATTTGCGCTGCAGACGGTTGCCTAGCCTGTGACTAACTGTGCCGTCAAATTATTATTTATTATTGAAATTGACTTGCATTTTTTAATAAGTGAAATACACATTAGTAATAAAATGTTGAGTACCTTTAAGCGAAGCGTATAGTAAATAAATATTGGCGTTGTCTAGTTAACAAGTATAAATTCGAAGGTGCAGTGACACTCGCATTCGGTAACACATTCACAAACATCCAGGTACATGTAGATGTCTGTCCACACTCGAACTGTTGACTTGGAAAACTGACGCTTTGGCTGCTTACACTTACATACTCTGAATCTCACACGCACGCGAGTCGGTTTACTCAAATCGTGAACTAGTACTAAAACGCGAGCCCGAAATATCATGATTGAGATATTGAAGTACGTGCAGTAAAATTATTACAAATTATTTGATCCAACGACACTACACATTTTTTTTAATTACAGACAGCGGTGCGCCCGTCCGTCACAACTGGAGTCGCGTTTCTGTGTAGACAATCGATTGTAACATCTATGAATAACGCGACAATATATTCAATATCGAATCGAGGTTCCTGTGCAAATATTCTTCTCGCCGATACCTTACTATTCTTATTGTTTCATATTTTTAAGCGTAATTAATCGACAGGATTTCTCAAAAAGACATTCATAATAAATAATAATAGAATATTGCTTTCATACACTACCTAAGTAACTAAATAACTACCTACTCATGGAAGTAACAGGAGAATTCCAGAGCACGGAAATGTTCAGTTCCTATAAACTAAACATTTTTTTAGTAATCATATAGTAGTACATTATACGAATACGAAGGAGTTTTTGTTATAACTAATTATAGTGAAGCATATTGAATTATGTTAAACACCTTATTATGATATTGGTTCCTGGTGTGTCAGTCACAATAAAACCTGGCAACGATCCAGAAGTCATGCATGAATGAAGGGAATTTATCCATGTTGATAAAACTAACAGACAACGACAGATAAGAACAGATCTACAAATGTACATAGGTTGTTGGATGCAAAGATAGTGCAACACAACGTAGTAAACACATTTCAGAAACGTATTGCTATACGTTCGCCACATCCACACAGCAGCTGTGCTGACCTAAGTTCAAGTAACCAATAACAAAAGCTGACACACCCAATTGTCCGACTTGTGGAAATACTTGAAATATGTGTTAATAGTTATAAGGAACAATGGGTTTAATAATTATGTTAATTTTAACAAAAAAACCCTAAATAACACTAAATTAAAAAAAAAACAAATGTAACCAATGTCAACTTCCATAGGCATCATGGAATTTAAAAAATCTAATTTTGATTAGTGGCACCCCACGATGCTAAATTTAGAATTACACGAGGCGTCGTAGGATACCACTGCATTTTTAAGACATTATGGTGATAGAAAGAGAAAATGGTTAAATGAAGGAAAGGGGAATCGAATGATCTTTAAAATTGTTACACGTAATTTCTGTATTAGTGGTCGAGCGTGACAGATATTTATGTGTACAATGTACATTGTACATGTTACATTTTTTGTGTGTTTGAGTGGTTTGTTGCGTGTCATGTGGGTTTTGTGTCGCATCTCTGCTGCATGAGCGTCTGCATCTACATCTGCGGGCAGGAGCCGAGATGCTGCATACTGAAAATTCCTTCAGTAAAATAAAACTAAATATTATCCCAGTTTAATTTTAGAAATCAAGCTTAATGCGCAGATTTTTTAAATGCCCTCCCTTAAACATGCTAACCACCTCTCTTCTATTAATATGACTGTGTTTAGTTATACTTTTGTTACTTTTTCAACATTGGTCAACATGATATTCCCCATATATTAATTTGACGCGCTACCGAAATTCCTTCGTGAGCTCCCCTCCTATTTGTCCAGCCTGGAAGACAAACGGCGCCATATTCTATAACATTAAACATCATTTAACTGCTTTTTGTGTTGCATTGAATCGCTACAATCGAATCGAATTGGCCAATTCATAACAGGTAAATGTACCCAACAAAACGTTATATAAAAAACTAGCGGACCCAACAGACATTGTCCTGCATATCCACTTGAATGTATAAACAAAAATTCATTCAAATTAGTTCAGCTGTTTAGGATAAATAACCTAAACATCGACCGCAGCGCCATCTGCCGGGCTGATTTGTGAATCTAAACCATTCCCAGATCCCCTTGAACACACAAAAAATTTCATCAAAATCGGTCCAGTTGTTTGAGAGAAGTTCAGTGACATACACACTCACAGAAGAATTATATAATATATAAAGACTAGCCAAGCCTCGATAGAGCTGCCCTATATATTTTAATAACTTTCTAAGTACTCTATGTAAGAACACGAACTGATACAACTTTTATACAATGTATGACTATAGAAAAAAGCGCAATTGTTCTGTAATAGCAATATACAATCATACGCATAGTGTTTGGATCACATACAGTGAAATCAATGCAATATTTAAAAAAAAATGTGAAGCGTGTGGTTCCCGGACGCAGCAACTCTTTGTGTGATCGACTAGTTGTTTCCTTGACCCACGAGACACGGGAAAATCCTAGAGTGGGGCGATAGCCCAGTCCATATAACTTAATTATTTAGAGTTAATGATTGATAATCCTCCTCCTGAACCCTCTTATTCTTATTTGCATTTACTTAGAAATCTATAAGAATACCATTTATAATTACAACGTTTTCACACATTTATAGGAAGTAACGGAGAATACGTCTATGTTTCGTCGGGTATGATAATATACGAGCATTTATCTGATAATTATGATAACACAATTTACATTCAAATTTCATATTCTTTAGCGAAACAAATAGTATAAACCTTTATACGTTGTACACCGGTCGTTCGTGACATGGATTTTCGAGCTACATCAAAGCATTCGAAAACATTCATTTTATGTAAATAAATAAATAGGTACATATGAATGATAGATGTTTCTATTCTATATGCGATACGTACTTGTGTATATGTTGCAAACACGGTGTAACAAGGTTGATAAGCAGTGTATAAAATTTTCCATTCTTACTCAAGAACCCATACTTTATATGTCATTTACTGAATAGATGGCGTTGTTACGGCTGTATCTTTAACTAGGACTGTTCCCGTGGGATAGAAATTACCAAGATCTACTCCTCCTCAATTTCATCCCGAATCATTCAGCCGTTTTGACGTTATTGAATAACAAACATAAACACAAATACTCATAAACTTTCGCATTTATAATTTTAGTAAGATTTCCGTCCAAAAAGGCCTAATCAATATAACATTACTAGTTAACACGTTAAACGCCATGGCAGTCACTGGTGACCGACATTAGCGGAGGATTTGCCTTCAACAGTTTTTTATTGGCAGCCAATGCCTTAACTACCTTTTGTCCGTGATGTACATATTTGTCTTACATTACAACTTTAAAAAATGATTGGAATCGAGTCGAATATAGCCATGCAACTTTAATTTCTCACGAGCGCACCGTTGCACCGCGACCGTAACGCTTTCACAGAAATGGGTCAATGGCGTTCGTACTGATCAATAAATGCAAGTAGACTACCACACTGCTATAACGGTAGTCACAAAAATATTTGTCAATTTTTTTTAATATAGTTTTTTAGAATTGTTATGAATAGTAGGAGTGCACTTTCACTTTTATCACTCATGTTATACCTAAACCTATGAACGGCAATGTTTATAATTTTGGACGAAACTCAAGAGATCTACATCATACTGGAATCAAATTACTGTTCTGTCTGGCCAGTGATGCTCTTACTGAAACAACTAAACCGGTAAAAGGATTTTATACGACGGTAACTTCTTCGTCAGACATGTTTATGGTTGACAACAATTTATAGTTCTTGACCGGCGAAACATTCGATAAGAAACTACTCACAAACGTGCAAATCAAATCTTTATGGGAATAACCATAATGCTTAAATTAGAACGACGTGACGCGTCTTGCGATCATGAAATACCGTTACTCAAAGCATGGTTTTATAGTGAGGCATCGCCGATCAAATTGGTCAGACGACAAAGGACGTTAAAATTAGACTGCAGACTGCAATAACAGTATTTAAATCTGAGCACGCTTTTTAGGCTAATTCTAGTAACTAAACAATCAGATCGATCTTCGGCTCCTCGAATATTAAGTGAACAATTCAGAATTACTATCAAGGAAATAAGTATTAATAATTTTAACTACAATAGAATTAACTATATATTGATATACTTCGCCTTCAATTATTCAGTCTCCAATTAACAACAGATTTTTATCCACAATCTCTGAATTGATTCAGATTTTTGAAAGTAACTCCATAGAACAATAATATCAAATCGATTACGAACCAAATTTTATTTAGATTTATTCAGTTATTAATTCCAGGCGTAAGTCGGAAGTTTTCAATAGTTGTTGTATAAGAAATGAATGATGTCATCCTTTAAGTTTCTGTAGCAAATATGAGAATGTTATTGATTAGTAAGACTATTGTGTAAGTCAATGAGTAAGAGCCGGCGCTCACTGCCGGCATAGCACGCTGCGGCTGTGGTACCCCGTGGCATTCTGCTGAAAGCCTATGCCACGACCGCCGCCCTAGTTACAACCTCATTTCAACTAGCTTAGCAATCTCATACGTCTCCTAAGTCCCAAGATGCTATGGCGACCTGCGACAACCCGTGGAATAAAACGGAATGGTGCCGTGTCAAATAACGTAACATGAATTTAATTGGAATAAGATTCAAAGTAACTTAACTAGTAATAAAATCTTTTGCCATGCCATGCTGTACCGTGCCGGCAGAGCATTATTTTGCCCTCGTATGTCAGCTAAACAAATGTAGTACATAAATTATTAAAGTGGGCCCAGGCTATGTGTATTTGAGAAAATACCAGTCATAAAACAAAATATTGTCGCTCAATTGCATAATAAACGGATCAAATTAATCATTATAGGTACTATATGCATTAATTGGAATATCGCTAGCTTTCTTTGTAGAAAGAGAATAATTTACCTCCATAAAATATTACTCACATAAATGTCTTAAATGATAGTAAAACTAACGGACATACACACAACTTAAAGATTTGCATAGAAATACTAAAGTTCTACATACCACATCCATTCAATCCCACAAGACCATATCGTCGACCACAATTCAACTCAAGAAGGGTGTCCTGCAGCAGTTCACTTCCATAGAAGGTGATGGAGAAGTTAGCTATCTTGATGTCTCTGGACCTCGGATGGACAGCAAGCGAACCAGTACATGATCGCGCTTCTGAGTTCATCTTAGCCTCCTCTTCAAGTTTAAGACACAATGCCTCTGCAACAAAATATATAAACTTATAACAGGTCCATTTTAGTAGGTACGATATTATAACATTATCTTTGTTTAGGCATTGTGGATAGTGGCCCTTGTTCAGTTTATGGAAGGGTTTCTGAACCACATGTCAAAAAAAGCATGTTGGTGATGGTGTACCATTGACTCGAGTAGTGCTGATAGCAAACAAGATGTAGGCACATCTCTGAACATGAAATAATTAAATCACATAGATCTGACTGCGAGTTGCTTTGAAGCGACTGATAGTAATAAGTAAAATTAAATTAATTTATTTCATGACACATCTATACACCTCAAAAATCATCTATTTTGTGAAAAAAGGGTATTTCCTAAACAAAAGGTTGGCCAATCCTGACCAAGAAGATTTATTTTATCAATAGCATTAAAATATTGTTTGCAAGAGCTTCAATTTAAGTTTAGTGAAAGTACGAGTTTCTTAAACTTTGTTTATTTTACAATAGTGCTGATGTAAGTGAACCTAGTAAACTGTTGGACCATGACTTACCTGCAGTTAACAATACAGATGAACATTTTATTTGTCATTGGTTAACATACCTGTAGTATTTTTTGCATACAGGTTTACTTGCAAAGAGGTGTACATACATAGCTATACAGCAGCATACATTTATTAATTTTAAGTACCATCTAGTAATTTTAAGCCTTCAATTTATCTAAATTGAAAGCTAAAAATCTACCGTTCAGTTCTGCATACAGGATTCAATTGCAAACTCTCAATAGAAAAGAAATACTTAGATTTCCCTTCAACTACAATAAACTCGGCCATAATAATATACTTATTTTACTTTTAGATACAGAATTGCATACAAGTCTGAACCTTAACCTACTAACCTATAAAATTAGGTATAGCAAGGACCGAACCAACACTACGATGCTAGCTAGCATTTGGTTATGTTTATTTCCAAATACTAATGCACTTTCAGTTTATTCTAGAAACGGATTTCCCTTCCATAGACATGACTCATAAGTCAACCAGAAGGTCGGTGATCATACTTATGTTAACGTTACTTACTATAATATTTCGAATAAGTTCATAATATTTTTTTTTCAAGATAAACATATTATAATAGTGCCATGTGCTTCAGTTATCGATTCATGAGCACCCTTCGACCGGCAATAATAAATATTGCGAGACGTCAGACTGAGTATCCAAGAAAAGGTTTGTATGTTATCACATATTCTTTAGAGGCACATAGCAATTCGCAAGTAAATTACAATAAAGGAGTAATTCGATTGAATATCAAATTTCACCGTGGTATTTACCTTCTGCGGTGAGCTCTCGCTCTTCCTTATTGCCGTTAGTAGCAGAACCATTCTCGTCATTCGTCACTCTGGCCACGGTCTTCTTGTTCCTGTTGCTCGCCTGCTCCTTCTTCTTCTGTTGAGCCCTTTTCTTTGCGTCAGACGGCATTTTGGTTACCTGATCAATGCCATTTTTTTATTAACACGAACACAAAAAATACCACTTACAATACGTGCTTTAGATTTTCATCAATGTAATTTAATTGAAACTTGCAGGATATAGTATTTCACGAAAATAATATTCTAAAGAGCAATCACAACACTTAATTCACGTGGATACAGTGGAATAATTTATTATTACCTATATAAGTTCTATGAGATGATAAGCAAGTCGTCAGCGTCTACACGTGCTGAAATAAAAAGAAAGACATTTAAAAATTCACTTCACAGATACAGTAAATGTCAAGCAGAACAATGTTGCCAACTCATGAATGGAAAACTTAAATAAAATATAGATGGAAAATTACAGTTTTCTTGAAATATTAGACTGAAAACGTTTCGTTTCAACATTATTTTATTAGACTGAAAAACAAAGGCGAAAATATTTAGATAATCACTCATATTTACAAAAAGAATTATGAATCTAAATGACCAAGTCTCTAAGGTGGCAACACTTAACCAGAGACAATGGTACTTTGGTCGTTGCCATATGACAAAATCAGACACTATTTTGTACTTCTTAGCTAAGACTAAAAAAATATTACTGTGTTGAAAATAAGTCTTAGATTTTTCAGGTTCACAGAGTAGGTCATTTTAGTATAGATAAGTGTCCTTAATTTCTGTGCACAGAATGATAGATAGGATAAATTAATAATGAGGCTAAGGCTTTTTGCTCATCAGATGGCGCAAATGTACAAAGGCCCCATTTAGGTGTTCTTGTGTATTTATTAATCCATCCATAAGTACTTACATTACCGTTTTTACCGTGACGGCACTCGGGGCCCGTGCCCAGGGCCCTGAAAGCGTCATCAGGGGGCTCCTTAAAGACCGACAATTATTTCTACGACAGACACACACTCGCTACACATTGCGCGGTAACCGGCTGCCCCACAACGTGTAGAGACTTCGACTCCCGCACGGAACAAATCTTTGATTGATCCACAAATTGTTGTATCGGTGTCATGTGCACTTGTGTGATAGTAAAATGCACCCACTATACAGGGAAAATCCTAGTGTGGTATAATGTAACGAAGAAAAATTAAAAAGAAGCATTCAAAAAGGGTTCCTAATTATTGTGAGCCCTCTTGGGCTCACAATAATTAGGAACTTCTCTGGGGCTCTTGCCCCAGAGAAGTCTAAGACAGCCCTGGGCTTACACTTACACCTACTATTATTTTTAAAATGAAAAAGAGTCTCCTATCAACACTTCTTCTTTTTAAAGAAAAACAGAGAGAGTCGGGTAATGAAACTATGTAGGTACCCCTTTATCATTGAGTCAGTGATACAGTACCACTACCACGATACCCTAATTAAGCTACTAAGGGCCATTCTACAGACACGATTAAATTGACTTATGAAGAAAGATCTATTCTTATGCAGTGCTCATTTCTCAAAAAATTTAACGAGTAAGAGTTTTGAATTCGATTCTCGGGTTGGGCAAATTATATGTTTTCATTATAATGTAATTTTTCAGTTTTCCTACAATTCATATTTCAAACGTCCATCTGTTTCATTTTGGCTGTATTATCCAGTCGCGCTGATGACGCCGCTAGTGTGGAGTGCATCATTGTCAACTTGGGTACGGGACCAGGAAAACGTAATTAAACGTGTCTTGGCGGGACCCCGAAAAAAATTGCAATACTAATAATTATTTTGTGTGAAAATCCGTAAACTTTCCAGGCAAAGTTATCCCAAAAATACCAAATTATCATCGGACTACAATTACTTACCTTAGTTTTTTTAAGTTTCGGGAAAAATCGTTTATTTTGACTTTTGTGATTATTATAATAATGAAATAAAATAAAAGCAAAATGTACGTTTTTATTTATTTTTGCTTATGCACGTTGGGGGCCTGCACCTGTTAATCTGTATCTCCTTATATTAATAAATTAGTAAGTAAATAATTCGGAACAAAGATGGTTTGAGACTAGGTAAGAGTAATCTCGATGTCGTCCATTTTTTTTTAAATATGGAGGAGATCACGCCAGATTAATGAGATTATTTTACTAAAGGATTTTTGTTTAATTTCGCAAGATGATTATAGCTTCTGCTTGTCCTCCTTTGTCCGCGTAACTTTAGGACTTCCTTTGTAACAATTTTCGAGGAAAAAACTCGTGAAAATAAATATTTGTATTAAAATTATAAAAATCGATATTTAAGTATCGCTTTCCGCCAGGCGGAATAGTGGACAAACGTTGGCTCATCAAATAAAAAAAATAAAAAAGGGTTTTAAGAATTTTAGGAAAGAAGGAAAATACGTAAAGCAAAAAAGTGTAGGTAGTATATACAGTTACTTGTTAGGTTGGGATAAACTAAACAACAAATAAGATTTATTTATTTATTCGGGTAAATATCAATCAACAGCAATAATTATTTATTGAAATATTTCAACAAAATAATTGTATCTTTCACAGTAATGTAAAATGAGAATATAATAATTGAGATAAAAGGCAAACTGGATACACAATATAAAATTTGTATTATCTGTATTAATAACAATAATAATTATTAATAAGAACACTGGTTTATTGCATAATTGCTTATACCCCACTATGCAGTGAAATTATGTGTGCGAGATAAAGTATTGTTGTATTAATTTCTAAATGCCAACTATTTCGAAATAGATACAAGTCAAATTAAGAGACTTCTCGATCTCGACACACAACTTTCTTAGCTAAAACATTAAATATTTTGTATAGATATTGCCCATAATGTATAGAGAATATATCTTAATTGAATAACTATGATATATCGATATAATTAATAATTATTAGAATGAATTTGAAATTGATTAGCAAAAATATTTTGACTAAGTTAAGGTACTTGATTCTCTCTGTAGCAGAATGCGATTACCGGTATTTTAGGCCCCCTCTACTTCTTACCGTACCGCCTGCAAACTTACACACATAGACGTATGCTGCATCCACTAAGTGCATTGCTTGCAATCCTTTTGTATAAATAAATATCAGTATTGCTTGAATTGAAGGCATCATTGAGATTGAGGTATAACACTATTTAAAATATACCATATTTTAGTTAGGGAAAAGGTTAACTAGCAATACTACTTAAAAGCACATTACGAAATTTGTTTCTACCTACCCTAGCTAGCAAGCTACACGACATTTACGATCTAAAACTAAATTACACCAAAATTGCATTAAATTTTAACACACTACAAATTACAATATTGCGTCTTTAACAAATTAGACGAATAACAACCAGTGTAGCTATAATTAAAAATATTGTTAAATATAACAAATTACGTTCAATTTTTAGTTCCCATAAATCATCGATAAGACGTTGACGCCATAAGTGAATTCTAGATTGATAGAATAGGTCTTCTTAGTTTAATCATACCGTGTTTTAATAAACAAGGTGTACGTACCTTGGTATTACAACTAAAATAATAATAAAATTGTAATTTTAACTAATTGTCTATATAACATAATTAACTATATAGGTCAGAATGACTGCCAGGAAAAGACAGTTACTGACTAAAGATTGACTACTTCTTCCATCACCAACATGATAGTAATTGTGCAACACAGAATTGCATCTAATTAATACCTTTTGTGTAACTGGCGGTAATACAATTTTATGAAGTACGAAAATTGTATTCCTCGTGATCATGCTCTTGATTTTTACACATGCCCAACAAGATATCAACCTGTTATGTAAATTCATGAACTGATTAGAAAACTACTTCACACACACATACAAGAACATAGGACATAACAAACAAGAAACTTAACAAGATGGTGGTTTATTTGACCTAAAATATAAGTTTTAATCGGATTTCTTATTTCAGTATTAGTATTAGTCGTAAAAACACAGGTCCACAAAGTGGCATATTATTGTTATAGTATGAGAGCTTTTCCACAACCTTGATAAACGAAGATCCCTTCACACCAATCTATAATTCATATTAACAAACAAACATGCTATAACAGAAGAATAACAGTAAATAGAACAGTAGCTAATTAACAATATACATAAAATTTAATAAAATAGTTGACGCGAGTTAGCAAAACGTTAGTAAATAAGTTATAATAAGTATTTATTTTAATATAAAACTGCCCAAGATGACCTATCTGTTATGCAACATCTCTCGACAAGCCAAAGGAACAAGACCGGCTTAGAGGCTTCTAACAAACGAGTATCAAGAAGATTTTATACTCTGTGTTTATGATGAAGACATCAAGAGCGAAATCTTAAGAAGGTAAACATCAAACACTACTGACAGCACCCATATAAAATACCCAATCAAATTACAACTCCGACGTTCTTTGATATATTACAGAACTATTGGACGTTTTCAGGTCTACCATCAACGAATGTCGGAGTATAAGTTAGACGGGCATTTCACATGTGGCCGTTCAAACGTCCACCGTGAAAACTATTTCGTTTTCATCCCGTGGCAAAACAACTTGCCATAAAGAGTACTTCGATGTATAGAAAAAACGAAATATAAAGACATCATTTTCCTTCAGTTAAGAAAAATATTTCATGGAATTACGCATATGAAACATTAGGCATTATTCGCATCGCACTTCCCACGACGAGAACTACCTCTTCGAGAGAATTACATGGCATGATGTTTTGATAATGCTATGAGTTTTTACGCTTCCGAAGTTTTCTTCTTGCAATGGCTTACCAGTTAGTTGTTGTTTTAAACATTTTATTTCTTTGTCAAAGTATTGTATTACCAACACAGAACCAAATTACTTCAGGACGAAAACGACATAGTTTTCATGGTGTATAATTTAATATTAACAGTGTATATATAGGCAAACAGTGGCGATACTAACCCTATAATATTCGATTAATTTGTAATAATTTGAAAAGCCTACCTAACACTCAATATTAAGAAAGAGGAAAAATTTACTATTATAGTTCTTGTTCTAACATCTAAAGGGATAAACATTAAGAAAGGCATTATACAATTTTAAATACCTACCTACTAAAAACAATTGTATAGTTACTTTAAGATTGTACAGCGAAAAAGATAGAAGCTTTTTTATTTTATTTTGTCTTTTTAATAAGTATTGGATTAGATTAGGTAATATCAGAAAAAATGTGTTGATTGAGAGGTAATTAAGCTAAGATGGAATACTGTTTCGATTGTAAATCAGTAAAAACCAAATTGTATCAACATAGGTGCTATTAAACAAATAAGAATAAAATGTCTCATTATTTTGCAATTGATATAATGGTTTAAGAGGTTTCTGTGGTGAGAGCGTAGC